TCTATCTATCTATCTATCTATCTATCTATCTATCTATCTATCTATCTAATTATTTATCTCTATCCATCCTTTTGTCTTTAGGCAAAACATAATAGAATATATTCACTAAAATATTAAAAGCAGGCCACATAAAAGGATGGAGATTTTATATATATATATATAATATTATATTATAATATAATATAATATGTACATACATATATACAGTATATAATATTCTGCACACAGAAGCATGCGTCTTTTCGAGTGATTTGGATTCTTTTCTGTGGCAAGCATCACATCTAATACAATCTAAAAAAAGGATAGCACTGAAAAGAAAGACAAATTGATTATAAAATATCAAAATAATTTCAAATGAAGGCTGGAGAACAACGGACACTGCAATGCCAATATCAGTGTTTCTCAAGAATACATAAGACATTTCCATGCATTTTTTTAAAAAAAAATATTTTCATTGTTTTCTTTCTTTGCTCATCACACAAGCCATTCAGTGACACAGACCAAATAATGTTGGAATTTTAGTACCCAGCATGCTTTGGGAGGTTAGAGCATTTGCAAAATATATATTTTTTACATATATATTTGAACGTTCCTCATCTCAAGAGGGTTTTTTTTAATTTTTTTTTTAAAAGCAAGAAAAAAGTGCACATTACATCCAAATGCTTAAGAAGAATTAATTAATACACAGATACACAGTACAGAATACAATAGAACATGCTGTCTTAAATGATTAATTCAGAAGATCCAGAATAAGACACAGTCAACTCATGAGGCATTTTTGTGTGTGTGCGTGTGCAAAATTCTGAAAAATCATGAAGTGGGTTGGAGGGAGCTCCTTTAAAAAAAAAAAATGAAAATTCAGGGATAATTTGGTGTAGGGTTTCCTGCCTAGGCAGGGGGTTGGACTAGAAGACCTCCAAGGTCCCTTCCAACTCTGTTATTCTATTCTAAATTTAAATTTGAATACATCAAGTCAATAATGGAATCAAAGTTTGCTGTCTCTAGCATGTTTCGTCTCACGTGGGCCTAACGTGAATGTTTACTAGCCCCTTGGAAAGAGGGGATACTTCTAAACAGATATATATGCCTTTTGGGGTGTCCTTGGCCAATTCGAGTTTAGGCATGGCAGCCTCGCAGAGGCCAGCTTTATTATTAGGGTTTGTTTGTTTGTTTTTAATCACAAAATTATTCTGGGGTAAATCAGCATCCTAAATGCCAGACAGCAAAATGTCATGTCAACAAACTTTAAAAAAAATAATAATAATCTGAATGCCACTGTTAGGAGGGACAAAAACAGAGCAATTTGTTCTCAGATCATCAAGAGAACCAAATGTCCCAGAAAGAAAAGAGTTAGGGGGAGGAGGGAGAGAAGCATGGGGGGAAATAGGGCTTAGTGAACTTGGAAAGTTTGCCTAGGACTGTCATACATCTGATCTTCTCCAAGAGAGCACAGCTTTACATTCTCAGTCATATGCACAAAGGAAACAATGAAAGGGCATATGATACAGTACCTCCATGGTCTGGGACTGGTGCATAGCTTTGATTGCATTCTGTGCCATTGCCCTTGTCGAAAACGTGACAAACGCACAGCCTGTGGGAACAGGGGGCAGGGAGCAGGAAAGACAAAAAAAGAAAAAGAAAAAGAAAAAGAAAAGAAAAAAAGAAAGAAAAAAGAAAAGAAAAGAAAAGAACAACAAAGACAAAAAGGGTTGGACGCTTGTTAAACCAACAACAGTCTACGAGAACGGCCACAAGACGACACTGTTCTCTGTAGTACATAAATTAAAAAAAGAAAAGGAAAGAAAAGAAAACAACAAAATAAAAATAAAAAGTGAAAATAAAAAACAAAAACAAAAATAACCCAATTCCCTAACTGATTTGCTTCAGCTGAGTTGATCATGGGGAGGGAGAAGGAAAGGAAAATTGGGGGAGGGGAGGGAGGGAGAGGGAAGGCTGAGACTCAGTGGGAAAATGACCACAATATGGCTATTTTCCTCATTCTTCAAAAGCAGTGATTCTCAACCTGGGCACCTTTAAGGTTGGTGGGTGGACTTCAACTCCCAGAATTCCCCAGCCAGCATGCTGGTTGTAGAATTCTGGGAGTTGAAGTCCACTCATCTGAAAAGTTCCCAGGATTGAGAAATGCTGCTGTAAAGAACAGGATTGGAAATAGGCAAGACTGCTTATATTTTAATTTCCATTTAATAGAGTCCCTTAAAGATCCTCATATCTAAGCATTCAAACTTGTTTATTTAAAACCACAGTAAAACTCCCACTTGCTTCATAAGCAACCACCACCATTAGTGATTGAATTAAACCAAATTAAGTCTTTTTAGTCATTGACATAGCAATACCTACAACAGAAATAAGGCTGGAAATCAAACTATATGCTTAGAGGAACCTGGTCTTGTATATCAGTCCTGTTGGGTCCTAAAATTGACTTTAGATGGTTCTGAATAAACTCAGCTAACTGAACACATGAGCGACTTGTTCTATTTCATGGCATAATGTGAGAATAAGGCTTTGTTCCTCCACCAAAATGTGTCAGATCTGTGAAGCAACAACAGTTCAGATCTTGGGTTTTCACAGAGGGGGTTAAAACCTTCTCAATCATAGTTTTCCAACCTTGGCAACTTTAGGACACACGGACTTCGACTCCCAGAATTCCCCAGCCAGCGTAGCTAGCTGGGGAATTCTGGGAATTGGTTCACATGACTTAAAAGAACTTCACCAAATTTGGGGAACCCTGTCTTAAATGGTAGGTTGGTGTTGTGATTCAAACCCTGTATTATATCACACCCGCCATCTTGCAAATTGGCCACTCCCCCTCCCTTCTGGGTGGCACTACTTGAACCCAGATATCCACGATTCAAGGTCTTCAATGATGATTTATTCTGATTCTTATGTTCATGTTTAAGCTTCTAACCTCTGGTACCGCCTACAGTGCTTAAGTTTAGGCAAAGGAGTCTGCTTTCTCCACCTAAATAAATTGAGACACGGATTAGGAAGAAGACAATGTCTTCTTTGAGATTCTGCAGTCTCTTCCTATCTCCAGATTTCAGGTGAGGTCATGGGGAAGGACAGAATTTAGGAGAAAGGCTCATGGCTGATGACTTAACATACTCCTTACTTTAATTGAAGGTGACATTGGACAAGTTTGTCAGGAGACTGTTGGGCAGTCCTGATGCCAGGCACTTCATGTTTAGAACTCCTAAAGCTCTATGAGAAGATCATTATCTGGTGACCTGGAGAGGAGACCAGATCAATGACATCGTTTCTTGGAAGCAACACTGTATAAAAGCCATCCTTCCTTGGGGCTCAGGGATCTTTGAGAGCTAGTTAATAACTACTATAATCATTCCATTCATTGGTGTCTTCTGCCAATGGATGACCAACTCCATCATTTTATGATCACTAGGAGAACATTTTACTCATCTTTTTTGGGGGGTTGGGGGAAACATTAGGAGCTTCTCCAGAAACGGTCTCATGTCAACATTTTATGCATTTAGGCAATTTATTGGTTTTGTGCGTGGTAACAAAGCTTCCCTTTTATCTGTGGAGCATACACTAAATTTGATCTTCGCTACAGTCCAATAATCGCCTCAAGGATTCTCTACGGATTGTAGCTCTTAGCTGACTTGAGCTGATCTCAAAAAAAGCAAAGCAGAATTGTACCTAGCTAATATAAGGGACCTCCCCTCAAGGGGATGCCAAAACTGTAGGCTAGACGGGGAGATCTCTTGGAAGAATGCAATGGCAAAGCAGTTTGGTAGTGTAGCTGAAGAAAATTATACGGATATGTCCATATTATCAACAGGGGTTAAGTTAAGTGAGGATGTCTTTTATTCCTCTGTAGGTTAAGCATCACTTTCGCAACTGATTCTCCACTGGCATCCTATTTGTGCAAGAGGGAAGACTGATGGGAGCCCAACTCATATCAATCTTCTTCCATGGATTGGTTTGGTGGGATGATACAAAAGTGAACTTGCATTTATTTCTGCTACTGACTCTGTTTGGTTTAATTTGATGTTGGCTATTTTGGTTTATTATGTCATTCCCAGAGATGGGCAGTTTAAATAAGTGTGAGAGGTAGAATCTGCAGATACAGGTAATTCTCGACTTACAAAAGTTTGCTTAGTGACCATTTGAAGTTTCAACGGCTCTGGAAAAAGTGACTTAGAACCATTTTTCACACTTACAACCATTGCAGCATCCCCACGGTCACGCAATCAAAATTCAGACACTGGGCAACTGGTCCATATTTATGACGGTCGCAGTGTCTCAGGGTCATGGGATTCCCCTTTTGTGACCTTCTGACAAGCAAAGTCCATGGGGAAACCAGATTCAGTTAAGAACCTTGTTACTAACTTAACGGCTGCAGTGATTCACTTAACAATTGTGGCAAGAATTGGTTGTAAAATGGGTCAAAACTCACTTAACTATTTCAATTTTGGCTCAGTTGTGGTCATAAGTCGAGGCCATCTGTACTGGCAGTCCTCCTCAAGGTTAGAGTTGGAAATGGGATTTGGGAGGCCAAAATACACCAGTACAGGTTTCAGAAGGACAAACTGCATTGAACACTGGAATATTTTAGAAACAAGAAGAAATTGGCATCTCAAACACCTTCCAAGTATCTATAAGAACTATAAGTTTGAAAGGCTATATTGTTTTAGACTATGCTAGAAAAAGCAATGGATGAAGTTCTTATCTAGTGCCTTCAATCTGCATTGGACTACATCCTCAATCAGCATGTTGGGAATTTGACTTAAAAACATAAGGAAGTTATATCTGAGTTTGATGGGAAGCGAGAGAGTTTGTAGCCTTTATATCAAATTTGGTGGGATTTACCAACAGTGCTGTACGCATTGTTTTTCACATTTCTTTTTTTTAATTTTTAAATACCCTTTGAAATTGACATTTCCCAGAGTGCCTTGCAAGAAAAGGCTGTGAAATAATGCAAATTCAAGTTGATTTCATAGCAATACTGCGGTGCAGTGAAAACTTTGCTTAATGCAACAAATTTGCCTTGTGACGCATGCTAAAAAGACTTTGATTTCTAAGCCTTTTAGCCTAGTATTCGAAATGCGGACTTCCAAACTAAAAAAAGAAGAAATGAAATCACAGCACAGCTCCCTCAATTTCCTCCAAAAATGGTGATGATGAAGATGACTGTTAGAATTTTAAAAGACTTCTAAATGAAGCAAGATGAATGCAGAGGGACTGAAGCACGATCTGAAGTAGATTATAGAACTGAGCAAGAAACTTAAAACAAGTCCAGGGTGGGCTTTATCTTTTTTTTTAAACAAAAAATAATAATTGGTATCACTGCCCCTGGGATCAGTAAGCAAAATGAAGAATCCATTTTACAGTCCAGCTATTTTGGGGAAATCAATTTGAGCACTGACAATACCACTTGCTTCCTTTTGGCCTTTCTCCATGTATACCTGGTAAGAATACCAAGTTGAGGGGGTGGTGGAAATAACTCAATAAGATTTTAATTGAACAAGAGGCAGTCCAGGCAATAATAACTGAAGTGTTTTGCAAACCATGTTTTGCAAATCAGCTCCAAGAGTTATGCTTTCTCTTCCATAAAGAGGAACGAATCCTCTTATGTTCCCCTTACTTGAAGGGCAGAACCAGAAGATTATCATTTTAGCATGCATTTATTTTAGCATTCAGTGGGATTATTGTTGGTACAGAGCACTGTTTTTCAATCTTGGCAGCTTTAAGATGCGTGGACTTTACCTCCCAAAGTTTCCCAGCTTCACCAGCATGCCTGGGGAATTCTGGGAGTTGAAGTCCACATATCTTAAAATTGTCAACGTTGAGAAACATTGACATACAGTAGATTGGGAATAAGGCTCAACCATTTCAGAGCATTGTGTTCCAAACGGTGCCCGCTGAGTCTAATCCTTATTTCATGATTTTTTGGTTAGGTTACTTCTCATTCAGGGTTGGCGATGCCATTTCAATTTGCATTTCTCCTTCTGGTTAAGGCGGGGAAGAGGGGCTCCATTTCCCCTGACATTTCTGTCAGCAGAAAAGATATTATTTGTCTAAAGCTACCCAGTGGGGAAAAAGTTGGATTTTTTTTTTTAAAAAAACCCCAAAGCTACAGAAAGGAGGAGCGTCAGGCTCCAGACAATGCGTCCTATATGTCATTCATATTATGAAGATATTCATAGGACGCCGATTGTGTCCTTTTCGAAGATGTCTTTCAAGCAGGAAGGTTGACTTTTATGTTTATTATCTCCAATTATCGCACAATTTACACAAGCTATTATGTATCTCACACACGGCTTGCTGGTTAGCATGATTTAAGGGAGGAGGGCAATTTTTTTCCCCGTAAAGATTTGCGTCTATTTTATCTTGCATTTTAAGTTCTAGGTAGGGCAGTGGTTCTCAACCTGTGATCCTTGGACCCCGGTGTGTGTGTGTGTGGGGGTGCGATGTCATCACAGGCCCCCAGTCTTGGAGGTCCATGACCATGGCCTGTGGCCACAAAAGGTATTTAAAGCCAGTGGCGCAGTGGCTAGAGTGCAGCACTGCGGGCTCCTTCTGCTGACTGCTGGCTACCTGCAATTTGGCAGTTCAAATCTCACCAGGCTCAAGGTTGACTCAGCCTTCCATTCTTCCAAGGTGGGTAAAATGAGGACCCAGATTGTTGAGGGCAAGAGGCTGACTCTGTAAACCACTTAGAGAGGGCTGTAAAGCACTGTAAAGCAGTATGTAAATCTAAGGGCTATTGCTAAAGGGGGTCCTTGGTGGAAAAAAAGCTTAAGAATCACTGTTCTAGGGTATATGTCAAGGTGTTTTATTCCGTGTCTCTTATTATTATTATTATTATTATTATTATTATTATTATTATTATTATTATTATTATTATTATTATTATT